AAATCCATGTTTTGTCAGTTTGCTTTTATAAGCGATCTACATTAGTGCCTGTTTTCACTAACAAAGAAATCCAAAGGTTTTAGTTTGGTTTATACTTTAACAAAAAAGGACAAAAAGTGAAAATAATGTTTAGCATTTGTTTTGCAGTGAGCCATTATAGAGACATTGTGCATCCTGAGTAGCAACAGAAGTTCTGCCATGTTCCTTCCCCAGAGAACTATACTTAGCATCTCAGCATCAAGCCACCGTCCCTTTGAATTGTGTCTGTGAGCATCTGTGCTTTATCTTGATTTATTTTGTGTATCCATTAGCAAGATGTATCCTAAGTGTTGTCAGAAAAGCCTAAGAGGTTATTTTGGGGGTCTGGAACATTCAAAATGTCTTCCATATGAGTGAGTGGTAACTGTTTTTTTGATTTATGCCATTTTGGCTTAGGAATTAAAATAGTGTGGTACCAGCATTAAGATAGACATAGACCGATGGAATAGAATAGACCGACGGAAATAAATCCTCACATATTCAGCCAATTGATTTTTGACAAGGTTGCCAAGACCATCCAATGGGGAAAGGACAGGATTTCTTTAACAAATGGTACTGGGAAAACTGGATATTCACATGCAAAATAATGAAGTTGGACCCTTATATACAAAAATTAACTCAAGGTAGAATAAGACTTAAGCTTAAGAGCTAAACCTATAAAATTCTTAGGAAAAAATATTGTGGAAAATTTTCATGACAGATTTTTCAACAATTTTATGGGTATGACACCAAAAGCACAGACAACAGAAGAAAAAATAGATAAATTGAACTACATCAAAATTAAAATCTTATTGTGCATCAAAGGACACTACCAAAAAGTGGGGGAAAAAAACAACTTACAGAATGGGAGAAAATATTTGCTAATCATATATATGACAAGAGATTACTATTCAGGATATATAAAAATTCCTATGACTCAACAACAAAACATTCAAAAATGGGCAACGGATTAAAAAAAAACTCCTCCCAAAAAGGTACAGATGGCCAATAAGCATATGCAAATATGTTTAACATCACCAGCCATTAGTAAAATACAAATCAAAACTACAGTGATATACTGCTTCACACACACTAGAATGGCTATTATTTAAAATAAAATAACAAATGTTGGTGAGTATGTAGAGAGTTGGAACACTTGTGCTGTGCTGGTGGGAATATAAAATGTAGTCTCTGGAAAGCAGTGGAATTAAACAAAAAAAATTAAACATAGCATTACCATACATTCCAGCAACACCACTTTTAGGTGTATATCCCAAGAAATTGAAAGCAGGGACTCAAACAGATACATACAAACTAATGTTCAAAGCAACATGATTCGCAGTAGGCAAAACATGGAAACAACCTAAATATTCATCAACAGATGAATGGGTAAACAACATGTGGTCTGTACATCCAATGAAGTAACAATTTAGTTTTACAAAGGAGTGAAATTCTGATGCATGCTACAGCATGAACGAACCTTGAGAACATTGTGCATAGTTAAGTATTTAGACATAGAGGGGTAAATATTGTATGATTCCAATTGTAAGAGGTACCTAGAATAGTCAAAATCATAAAGGCAGAAAGCAGAATAGATGTTACCAGGCACTAGGAAAGAAGAGGGGAAGTTATATTTTAATGGATATGGAATTTATGTTGGGTATGATGAAAAAGTTTTGGCTACAGGTAATGGTGATGGGTATATAGCATTGGGAACATATTTAATGTCACTGAATTGTACACTTACAAATGCTTTAAATGATAAATGTTACATATATTGTACCACAATTTTTAAAAAAGATAATACAATAAGCTTTTAGATTTTAATATAGGTGAATATCTTCATGATCTTGAGGCAAGATTGTGGTCCACTCTATATGTGCAAATGTCATGTCCCATTGAGAAACCCAGGCCCAGCAATCCAAATGTCCACAAGAAACCAGGTATAAAGCTTTATAAAGTAGTAGCCAGATGATATCTTAGAGATCCCAAGCCTTCTATAAAGGCCCTTAAAATCAGAATTAAGAAACCAAATCACAGAATTAGTCAAACAAACAAAACCCCTTAAAGTTCGTAAGCTAAATTGGTAAGTTTAGTTCAAGGATCTTTCTAATTGTAGTTTCTGAAGAGATTGAAAATAGAAGGGACCCTAGGGAAGAATATCATTTAAGACCAAAACATAAGGCCATGGAAGGGAGTCCACAGGAGCCCAAAGAGAACAAGGAGCAAATCAAATGTGGGAAAGTAAAGAAAGACATTGACAAGTGGTACAAACAAACAAAAATACAGTTCTTTTAACCATAATAGCTTAAAATAACAATTATGTATTTCTAGCCCCTACAATTAACACTTAAACATAATTTCTAGTACTTCTAAGCCACATTTGTATTATTTTGACTAAAAAATTAAATATTCCTGGGACGCCTGGGTGGCTCAGTTGGTTGGGAGTGGGACTCTTGATTTCAGCTCAGGTCAGGATCCCAGGGTCCTGGGATCAAGCCCCACATCAGGCTCCAGGCTGAGTGTGGAGCCTGTTGGATACTCTCCTTCCCTCTGCCCTTCCCCTGTGCTAGCATGTGTGATCTCCTCAAAAAATAGAAGTATAAGTAAAATAATAAATAAATAAATAAATAAATAAATAAATAAATAAATAAATAAAGTTATAAATGGCACCTGGCCTCAAGGAGTTGGCGCTCAAGTTAGGATTCCAATATATTAGCCGTTGGGAGCTGATGACAACAAATTTGAAGCTTGTATTGCACGATTTCATACATGTGGGAGGTACACAGAACATAGATTATTTCAGGGTGCAGAAAAACAATCTAAGGAACAGGGAAGATAAATAGTTTGCCGCAAGCATTCATGTATCTAATCGGAGAGTTAAGGACCAAGGCCCAGGTTTACGGACCAGTACTGTTTCCTCTACACTGCGTCGAGATTAAAGGTGGAAAGACTTTCGCTGACCCCGACCTAGCAGAAAAGGGGAGATGAGGACATCTGTTTGATGGGGAGGTCTCTGTGGAGGCGGCCAGGGAATCAGGGAAAGGCCCAGATCCGTGGTCAGAGCACCAGGCAGGAAGAGCTTGGCCTGAGTCAGCTCTCATCTCACGCCCTGACAGTGTCCTGGGAGCCTGCGCTCAGCAGAACTTGGAGGCCCCCGCCGTGCAGGGGTCCGCGCGGGGCCCCTCGCGCTGCGCCCACAAGCCACGCTCTTGGCTCCAACCGCAGCGTTAGGGCCCCGCGAGGGGAAGTGAGGGGCGCCGCTGAAGAAGTGGCGCTCACTGGGCAAGTGCCGCCCCCGAGACTCCCGGAGCTGGACGGCACCGAACTAAGGGCACCACCTGTGAGATCGAGCCCCTCTAGCCCTGCAATCAAGTGACCGCAGGGATCCATGGTCCGTGCGCACCACTCTGAGGGCAGGTGTTCCCAGTGCTGGCTCTTGTTCAGGTTTCAGTTCTGTGCCAATTCTCTTATTTGCTCCCCCTCCCCCAACACAATCCTACAGGATTGTTTTTTTGTTTTTGTTTTTGTTGTTTTTTGTTGGGGGGGGCGGGTTGCTGCTGAGGAAACAGCCTTTGAAAGAATAAGTGATATGGGCAAGACCACGTAGTAACTGGTAAGGACAAAATTTGAACTTCAGTTTGACTCTTTCCACTATGCCTTTCTACCTTTTCTCAGTTGCAAGCGCTGACAGGCCATGTCAGGGGCAACTCAAAGCCATAAGATTTCCTGGTTTGTGTAAATGGAAGGGAAAGTTTGTAAGCGAGGAATCTGAAGACCCGTCCTAGACTTAAGGTATGGTTATAGATAAGAGGCTGGGGAAAAACAGAAGAGCCATCAGCCATTGGAGATTCTGGAGGGCAGGTTCTCAAAGCCGTGTGAGAAAAGTTAGAAGACAAGGCCATTAAAAAAATAAAAAGACTTTCACTGCAAGAAACAGAAACGCTCTGTTACTAGCTTTAGCACAACGAAGATATATTTATCATAATATGAGAATAGCTATGTTTACATAATCTAAGGGCAAGAAGTCAACCAGTTTTCCGGAAGGGGAAGATTGAAAGCCATCAGAAACTCAGGAAATTCTGTTCCTTGTCCGTCTCTTCATTTCTCTGGGTGTCCTTTCCATTCACCTCCCTCCCAAAACTCACCTTCTCTCCCACTTTGTCCCTTACGGTGGGGCGTGACAAATCACATCTCCCAAGGTCTATCTTCTCATCAGGAGACCAGCCCAAACAATCCAGGAAAGAGTATACTTATACTATGGACCCAGTTCAAGTTAGATGCTCACCTTTGGCCCAATCAGCTAGGATCAAGGAAAAATCCTCATGGGTGTTAAATATGCAGTCTAGGGGGGACTGATAGGAGTTATATAGAAATCTCAAAGGTTATCCACAATTGAATGGTAGCTGTCTGTTATTTTTAATTGTCTTATCTATTGAACACCTCCCCTGCATTTTTGTAGATCCCTAACTCGTGAAGCTCACCTTTCCAAAGTAGAATATATGACATTTTATTTTTCAACTTCCCTTGCAGCCAATATAGGCACATGGATAGATTCTGCGGGTACCCCTGCACCAGGTTCTAATTTGGAGAGAAATAGCGTGGAGTGAGGGAACAAAGCTCAGCAAACAAAAGTCCAATCTCCCTGACATCATGAGGGTGGGGATATGGGTAATTGCTAGAGGGATCGATGGATCAGGGAAGCCACCGCACAACAATTTGCTACAGTCCAGTTTAAGGTTGGAAAATGAGTAAGACTATTTGAGAAACAATTATTGGATTTTTTTTTCAAGATTGCAATCTTGATGGTTTGAGGAAAAACGTTCTCTCAGGGGACTACAAAACAGTGAAAAATTGGCAACTCTAGGGGTAGATGTTCCTCTTAATTTTAACCCAAGAAAATAATTAAAATTAACTTGTCCTTAAATTTTTCTGCAGAAAAGAAACACATTTCATCCCCCCATTTCTCTATTGTATCTTAGTGAAAAATGCCAAGACGTCGTCTGTGGATAAGAGAAGAAACAAGGTTGTTGGGGGTAAGAGCAAAATGCTTCTTGAACAACTAAATGACTGTAGTGTCGCAATTTCTAAATGCAAAACTGAGGAGACTTTAACCACCTCTATTGTGAACTTTCCAAACGGAAGAGGGTTAATGGTTACATCATGCCTGCATTTTCCACATGCAAGCCGATCATCTAAACTGTACATCAGGCTAAAGCTACATAACTTTAAATACTACATTTAAATAATTCCAAACCATTACAACTTAGTCACACTCCAAGAAAAATATACTCTGAGTTATGGGTAGAAAATCCCTTTTGGGCATCTAGAAATTATTTCATGTTAAGCTAATGATAACACGGCCCCAAATGAGACGGTCAGATTGTAGAAACTGTATTCAGGAGAAGCTGCCGACATAAAGCTTTGTGGCCAGTGATCATAGTGGTGATATGTTCTTGACTTCATCCCCAGGACATGCCACTGTTTTCCCAATCAGCTCCCAGCAAGTGTAGCAAGCTATCCTTTTGCATGATCTCCCCATTTTGCTGGGTGATCGAGTCAGATTAGGAATCAAACCAACAGGATTAAAGCTTGGTCCAGGAATATTCCCAACATCTCAAGTGTATTATTGCCTTATTTAAGATCTACCTCATCTTCTGACAGAATTGGACGAGGACTCTACGTTAAAGCACGCAATGAACCCAAAATTTCCTCTCCTCTTTCCCAATAATATGATATTAAAGGTTTTTATTTCTGACCTTCTTGCCCACTTATCTGGGCAAGGATATTGAGAAGGAATAGTTAAAGTGTGTCTGAGAATAAATAGGACGGTTGCTGGCTACATTACTGCCCTTCTAATGAGATCTACCATTACCCAAGAGTTCAGGTCTCATTTCATTTAATAAAACATTCTAGGGGCGCCTGGGTGGCGCAGTCGGTTAAGCGTCCGACTTCAACCAGGTCACGATCTCACGGTCTGTGAGTTCGAGCCCCGCGTCGGGCTCTGGGCTGATGGCTCAGAGCCTGGAGCCTGTTTCCGATTCTGTGTCTCCCTCTCTCTCTGCCCCTCACCCGTTCATGCTCTGTCTCTCTCTGTCCCAAAAATAAATAAACGTTGGGAAAAAAAATTTTAATAAAACATTCTAGCCTCCAGTTCCAGTTTCCAGCGTCCAGGACAAGATGGAATAGACACACTTCTCCCTATTCCTATCACTAATTACAGCTAAAACTTTTGACAGATATAAGAAGACTCCTAGCAGTAACAAGGCCATACCCCCATGTCCTTGCCAACACAATACACACGAAGATTTGCTGAAACAGAAGATTTAAACTGTACTAAAATACAGAAGCATAAAATTTACCATCAAACCCATTTTTAAATGTACAGTGCAGGGACGTTAAGTACATCCACACTGTTGGGCAACCATCACCACTGACAGTTTCTCCACAGAACTCTTTTCATCTTGCAAAATTAAAACTCTGTACCTATTAAACAATAATTCCCCCACTCCCTCTCCCTGCCCACGGCCCTTAGCGATAACAATTTTACTTTCTGTCTCTATGAATTTGACTGCTGTAATACCTCAGATACTTGGAATCATGTAGCACGTGTTCTTTTGTGATGAGATTCTTTCACTCAGCATAATGGGTCCCAGGTTCATCCATGATGTAGTTGATGTGGAATCTCCTTTGTTTTCAAGGCTGAATAATACTCCGTTGTATGCATAACTACACTTTGTTTATCCATTCATCCGCCAATAGACACGTGGGTTGCTTCTACCTTTTGACTATTGTGAATAATGCAGCTAAGAACATAGCTGTAAAGTAGCTCTTCAAGTCCCTGCTCTCAACTCTTTTATATATATACCTAGGAATGGAAATGCTGGGTCATAGAGTAGTTCTATGTTTAACCTTTGAGAAACTGCCAAACTCTTTCCCTAGCAGCAGTAACATTTTACATCCCACCAACAGTACACAAAGGGTCCAATTTCTCCACATGGTCTTCAACATTTGTATTCTTTTTTGATGATAGCCATCCTAATAGGTATAAAGTGGTGTGGCTTTGTAGTTTTGATTAACAATTCCCTAACGGTTAGTTAGGCTGCTGAGCACCTTTTCATGTGCTTATTGGCCATTTCCATATCTCTAGAGAAAGGTCAAGTCCTTTGCCCATTTCTTAGTTGGATTGTCTATTTTTGTTACTGTTGTTGAGTGGTAGGAGTTATTTATATATTCTGGATATTTACTCCTTCCCAGATATATGATTCACAAATCTGTCTACCATTTTTTGAGTTGCCTTTTCACTCTGTTGATTGTGTTCTTTGGTGCACAGAAGTTTTAAATTTTGACATAATTCAATCTATTTTTCCAAAAATTATTGCCAAATCCAGTGTCATGAAGCTTGTCTCCTATATTTTCTACTAAGTTTTTGTTGTGTCATCCCAGCCTATTGATAGTGATTTGGGGGGGATAAGAAACATGTTTTGGCCTAAGGCACATATTATACCAAGGTCTAGTTCCTCATTCTGATATTATACTATAAATTACATAAGATGTAACCACTGGGAGAATCCAGGTTCAGGGTGCACAGGACCTGTACTATTTTTGCAAATTACTGTGAATTTATAATCATTTAAAAATAAAAAGGGGTTTTTTTCTTATTATTTAAATTCAAGGTAGTTAACATGTAGTGTAGTACTGATTTCAGGAGTAGAATTCAGTGATTCATCACTTAAATATAATGCTCAGTTCTCATCCCAACAAGTGCCCTCCTTAATGCCCATCACCCATTTAGCCCATCCCTCCACCCATCTCCCCACTAGCAACCCTCAGTTTGTTCTCTGTATTTAAGAGTCTCTTACGATCTGCCTCCCTCTCTATTTTTACCTTATTTTTTCTTCCCTTCCCTTATGTTCACCTGTTGTGTTTCTTACATTTCACATATGAGTGAAATCACATGACACTTGTCTTTCTCTGACTGACTTATTTTACTTAGCATAATACACTCTAGTTCCATCCACATTGTTGCAATGGCAAGATTTCATTCTTTTTGATCGATGAGTAGAATTCCATTGTATCTATATACCACATCTTCTTTATCCATTCGTCAGTTGATGGTCATTTGGGCTCTTTCCATAGTTGGGCTATTATTGATAGTGCTGCTATAAAATTGGGGCACATGTGCCCCTTCAAACAGGCATATTTGTATCCTTTTGCATAAATACCTAGTAGTGCAATTGCCTGGTCATAGGGCAGTTCTAATTTTAATTTTTTGAGGAGCTTCCATGATGTAATCCCTATTAAAATAACACCATTTTTTCACAGAACTAAAACAAATGATTCTAAAATGTGTATGGAACCAGAAAAGACCCTGAATAGCCAAAGCAATGTTGAAAAAGAAAATCAAAGCTGGAGGCATCACAATTCCAGACTTTAAGTTGTATTACTAAGCTGTAGCCATCAAGACAGCATGGTACAGGTACAAAAACAGACACATAGATCAATGGAATAGAATAGAGAACCCAGAAATGGAGCCACAAATGTATGGCCAACTTATCTTTGACAAAGCAGGAAAAAATATCCAGTGGAAAAGAGACAGTCTTTTTAGCAAATGTTGTTGAGAAAACTGAACAGTGACATACAGAAGAATGAAACAGGATGACTTTATTAACCATACACAAAAATAAATTCAAAATAGATGAAAGACAGAAAACCATCAAAATCCTAGAGGAGAAAACAGGCAGCAACCTCTTTTACCTCAGCAGCAGCAACTTCTTAATAGACATGTCTCTAGAGGCAAGGGAAACAAAAGCAAAAATGAACTATTAGAACCTCATCAAGATAAAACTCTTCTGCACAGCGAAGGAAACAACAAAACTAAAAGGCAACCAACGGAATGGGAGAAGATATTTGCAAATGACATATCAGATAAAGGGATAGTATCCAAAATCTATAAAAAAGTGTATCAAACTCAAGGCACAAAAATAAGTTTTTAAAGATCCTATATCCTTCACTAAACTCAGACTTCAGACAAATTTATTGTATCCTATGAAACTACACCACTGCCATGTGGGAAAAGCCCTATCTACCCCAAAGACCCCTTGCTTCCTTCCCCTGCCACAACCTGTCAGAAGTGCCACATGATGCATGGTATTGTGTTGCATGGATGGCAAAGTATTCTCCAAATGAGAGAGATATCCCCACCAACTAGCCACTTTTTGGCTCTCCTTATAATCATATATCAGAACAGAAGCCTGTTGCAAATTTCAAGTTAGTTATCCTGTTTATGAGGATCTCTCATAAACAAAGTGAGGAAAAAAAGATGTCAGTGTCCCCAGGCACTGTAGAAACACGAGTAAAGCAAGAGGTACTAGGATCTGAACTCCGATATAACTCCTTCAGATTTTTCAGGCTTAACTCCTGTGTTTCAGTGGTAGGGAGGTGCAAGGAGGGGTCGTTGATTCAGCTGTGGCAGAAGGAGGCACACCTGAGAAACATCTATCTGAAAACCAGTGGAAAGTCCCTACAGAGAGTTGTGGCTCTACATGGCAAGCTTAAAAATTTCCTCCTCCTTTGACTTGGAAACGATCGTAGCTGGTCTGGCTTTAGTAGGCAGAAATCCTCCTCAATCTCCACACCTGATAATGTTTCCTAGGAAGAGTTATAAGAAACCAGAAATCCCTTGGGGCACCCGGGGGCTCAGTAGGTTGAGCATCCGACTTCAGCTCAGGCCATGATCTCATGGTTCGTGAGTTCAAGCCCCACGTTGGGCTCTGTGCTGACAGCTCAGAGACTGAAGCCTGCTTCAAATTCTGTGTCTCTCCTCTTAAAAACTGAGAACAAACTGAGGGTTGATGGGGGGTTAAGGGAGGGGAGGGTGGGTGATGGGTATTGAGGAGGGCACCTTTTGGGATGAGCACTGGGTGTTGTATGGAAACCAATTTGACAATACACTTCATATATTGAAAAAAAAAAAACAAATTCTGTGTCTCCCTCTCTCTCTGCCCCTCGCTTGTACTCTCTCTATCCCTCTCTCTCTCTAAAATAAATAAGCATTAAAAAAAAAGAAACAAAAAATCCCAAGGATTCACTATCTCTTTTTTTGACTCCTGTTTATAAAGGACAGAGGACTCTACTCTATGTCCAGATGGGCATGGGGGTGGTAAAAGAAAATCTCAATTTTAGGAGGATGAGAGAAGGACAAGTAAGGTCAGAAATGCCAAGTCTGGGAGCTGTATCTGCAGGTGTAGATTGTTGGCCACATAGGCACTGATGAACATTGAGGGAGATCAATTCTTTCAGGGCTCCAAGAATCATGCCATATGATCTCTTAGCTAACCAAGTAGATAAACAAGCTCCTAGTACAATTTTATTGGGCATGTGATTAGTCATTGTATCTGAAAACTGCTCTGAAATAATAACCTAGCCTCCTCATTTAAATTAAATGTTGAGAATCCTAAAATTCTGTTAGGTAGTCGCCTTTTTCTCCATCTTGACATTTTCTTGATGTTTGTTCCTTTCAAAGATTGAACTAGAATAGTAGTAATTAATTAATGGCATTCTTTCCTCCCAGGCCATACAAATAATGACTGGTCTGATTGTTCACTTCGTGGGACAGCTCTGGACGTATTTGTTTACCACACAAGTTATTGCATTTGGAAAAGCGTACCTTCCTCTTGTAGTAATAACAAGATACGCATATTGGTCATCTGTGTGTGTAAGTGAACAATCTATTCCTTCATTGTTATTCATTTATTCATCACATTTAGTCACTGTTTCCGAACCAAGCAGTGTGTCAGAGATAGAACACAAAAAAAAATTCACAATCTCTATTCTCAATGAATGCACTCTTATATCTAGTTGAAAAGGAATCTATCAATAGGAAAAGAACCTAGATCCTTACCAGTAACATTCCTTCATAATAAGAGTACGTCTTTGTTAACAGGATACTTTTTACATGCTCTTTGGATAATGGGAACAATAGTAATGGTAAGGTGCCTAAGGCGCATTTTTGTAAAATAGAAAATGGTTGGTGACTATTTCGCTACCCATAGGCCATTTATTTTGCCAGTGGAGGAAGCAATATGAGCGAGCACAATTGCTAAGGAAATAGTGGGACATACAGAATTTACATAGGGAAAGAAAACTGAAGTCTTTTTGTTCTGTTGATCTGAGAAGAATTTGGTGGAATTGAAAAGAAATCTCTAAAGAAAAATTCACTATGTCTGCGAGTATGGTGGATAATGCCACGTTGTCCCCACAAAATCCTGAGTGAAAATCTTAATAATGATAATAATAACCATAATATTAAGAAGAAGAAGAAGGAGAGAAGGAGAAGAAATTTGAAATTTGGTCATTCAACCAGTACTTATAGAGTACCTACTATATGTCGGGTCCTGTTCTTGGTGCCCGAAATGCGTCAGCAAACAAAACAGATCCTAGACTTTAGGGAGCTTTATTCTAGCAGGGGTAGTATGTTACAAGGGCTATGGAAGTCAAAAAGAAAAAGTAGAGTAAGGGGGAATGAAGATTCTGGGGAAGTAGTGAAAGGATATAGGTTATTGTTTTAAATTGAATGGTCAAAGTAGTTCTCATTGAAAAAGTTACTATTAGTAACCTATTGTTATATAACAAACCATGACAAAACCGAGTGGCATACAAACAAAAGTACAGTTGACCCTTGAGTGATGTGGAGGTTAGGGACACTGACCCCTGTACAGTTGAAAATCTGTGTATGTTAATCAACATAGTACCAGAAGTCCTGGCCACAGCAATTATACAAGAGAAAGAAATAAAAGGCATCCATATCCATATGGGTAAATAAGTAGTTAAACTGTCACTATTTGCAGGTGACATGATACTATATATAGAAAATTTTAAAGACTCCACTAATAAGTCAATTCAGTATACTTGCAGGATACAATATTAATACCCAGAAATCAATAGCATTTCTATATACTAATAACAAAGCAGCAGAACGAGAAATTAAGAAAACAACACCATTTACAATTACACCAAAAAAAAAAAAAAAAAAAATTAGGAACAAACTTAACCAAAGAGGTGAAAGACCTGTACTCTGAAAACTATAAAACATTGATGAAAGAGGAGCACCTGGGTGGCTCAGTCGGTTAAGCATCTAACTTCAGCTCAGGTCATGATCTCACAGTTCATGGGTTCAGGCCCTGCGTAGGTCCATACACTGACAGCTCAGAACTCAGAGCCTGGAGCCTGCTTCAGATTCTGTGTCTCCCTTTCTCTCTGCCCCTCCCCTGCTCCTTTCTCTCTCTCTCTCTCTCTCTCTCCCTCTCTCTCTCTCTCTGTCTTTCCAAAAACTAAGCATTAAAATTTTTTTTAAAAAATTGATGAAAGAAATTCAAGACAACACAAATCCATGGAAAGATATACTGTGCTCATGGATTGGAAAAATTAATACTGTTAAAATGTCTACAGATTCAATGCAATCTACAGAATCAATTCAATTCCTATCAAAATACCAATAGCATTTTTTACAAAACTAAAAACAAATGATACTAAAATTTGCAGAAACCGTAAAGACCCCAAATCTTGAAAAAGCAATCTTGAGAAAGAAAACAAAGCTGGATATATCACAATCCCAGATTTCAAGATATACTACAAAACACTATGGTACTGGTGCAAAAATAGACACATAGATCAATGGAACAGAATAGAGAGCCCAGAAATAAACCCACGCTTATATAGTCAATTAATCTTTGACAAAGGAGGCAAGAATACACAATGGGGTAAAGACAGTCTGTTCAACAAATGGGGCTGGAAAAACTGGACAGCTACATGCAAATAATGAAACTGGACCACCTTTTAACACCATACACAAAAACAAACTCAAAATGGATGAAAGACCTAAAACCATAGGTCTTAGGACCTATGGAGGGAGACCTGAAACCATAAAAATCCTAGAAGAGAGCACAGGCAGTAATTTCTCTGATATCAGCAGTAGCAACATTTTTATAATTCCCAAGGCAAGGGAAACAAAAGCAAAGATAAACTATTGAGACTACATCAAAATAAGAAACTTTTTCACAGCAAGGGAAACCATCAACAAAACTAAAAGACAACCTACCGAATGGGAGGAGACATTTGCAAATGATATATCCAATAGAGGTTACTATCCAAAATACGTAAAGAACTTACGCAACTCAACACCAAAAAAAAAAAAAAAAAATCAATATTATTACAAAATGGGCAGAGAGAGAGGGGGAGACACAGAATCCAAAGCAGGCTCCAAGCTCTGAGCTGTCAGCAGAGCCCGATGCGGGGCTCGAACCCACGAACTGTGAGATCATGACCTGAGCTCAAGTCAGATGCTTAACCAACTGAGCCACCCAGGTGCCCGATTCACCTATTTAAAGTGGCCCCCAAATAGTCTCTTATATACCACCAGCCTGAGTCTGACAAATATAAATGTATGAATAGAGAAAATGGGAATTTTATAAATCAGTTATAGCCCATAAAATCAAGGGTTTTTTGTTTCTGTTTTGTTTGTTTGCCATACCACATCCCATTAGCTGGTCTCTATGTCCTAAGCCCTTCTTCAGGGGAATTGACATCTTTGAAACAGTTGATGATCTAACTATACATCATTTGGAATTTACTGTTGCTCATATACTCCTTTGATGTTTTTAATGGACCATCATCCAGAAATGGAGCTGCATAAGTGAATGAACGTATGTGTTCAGGCTCTGCACTTTGGGATGAGGCCTGCAATATACAATAAATAACTACAGTAATTTTCTTTATGACCATCATTCTGTCTGACATTAAAAAAGAAAACATCCTGGTGGTGGTCTTCTTTCTGATGACTTTGTTTTATGTTTTGGATTTCTGGGAGGCTTTTCCAGAATGAGAACCTCAAGTGGAGAAAGTCCAAGATGCTAAGGAAGAACAGAGTCTTCTTGGTCCAGTGCTTAGTACTTCGTAAAGCACTTGGTAAAGTGCTTATTTCACTGCAGGGTTTGTTTGTTGTTTTTTTTTTTTTTTTTTAAGAAAACAGGACCACCACAAGATTTATGGAAATACAGAAACTAGTATGAGAATCGGAGCCTTCACAAATGTGGGAGTTCCTGGAGATGAGAAGACGTGGAAAGGAGAGTTGGAGAATCGTAAGGAGAGTCTCTAACTGCTTCTGCCTGAGGCACCAGCAAGAGTGGAAAGGTTGAAGTTGTAATTAAATCTAAGAAGCCGTGGGTTCCTGGCCACCAGAGTGGGGTTGCCGAGGGAAGGTTATGGAGAAGTCTGGAAACTGCCTGTGGAAGACAAAAATGAAAACATAACAGAGGAATAGGAGAAAAAAAAAAATAAGGCCATGGCTGCCATATCTGATCACCATGATCTTGTGAGAGTGATACTTTCTCCTTCCCTTCTCTCTTCCAAATACTGCTCCAGATTTTCTTTTGGCCACTTGTAAGCAGAGACCATCAGAGGAAAGGAATTCTGGAAAATGTAGTTCTGAGCCTTAGGTGGAAGCTAGCAGGACCAAGTTGGGTATAAATAATTCAGCAAATTGCTCTCTATGTAACTATTACAACAACAACACAGTAAAACAGAAAGACAGAAAATATGAATCCCCATTTTACCAATGAAAAAAGCAAAACTAATGATAGAGTCTATGTGACTCTATTGAGTCACATAGAAAGCAAAGTGCAAGGAATTCAAATTCAGAGCCTTCTGACCCCAAAATGCTACTTAGTATTGACATGTTAGTGGCCCCATTTTTCTGGGGAAAGAACATTCCTTCCCTTTGCCACTAATGGAATAGTTAATGTTTTAATGCTGTGGGAAGTTTCCATGCATGCGTAAAGTTGTACCAATGAAATGAATAAATTTCTGGTACACTCTGTCATCTTTCTAACAAGTTTTAGGAAGTGATAGAAGGTTTCAGCACAAGCTACTCATGGAAGACATTATATAATTCTTATATTTAAACATGTAAAATGAAACTTAAGTATTTTCTGAATTATATTTTCCATTACTAAAATATTTTTAACATTGTAATAAAAGTACTTCCATGTGAAATCACCAGTATATATCATTGTCTAGTAGTAAATTCATTAATGGGATATATTTTCTCATAATTCACCTTATGGGATCACTAGATTATGATTGAAAAAATCTAAGTAAAATTTGACACTCCTTTTGCCCTATGAAGTCAACTTGAGATCCACATGGTTCCATTTCCAATGCATGTGTTGTTTTACTGAACAGACTTCTTGCCTTTCCCATCTCTGTAATACAGAAAAGTGAATTATTTTTGGAATGATTTTCTCAATGGCCCCACCAAAGAATTAATATGATATTCCTCATGTTACAGCATTCCAGAATTCTTTTACTCTTTAAGTTTATATATAAAAATAATGACTAGGTATATTAATAAATGTGATTTTTGTTTCCAGTTTCTCTTCTCGGGAGTCTTTGCAGTATTAACAGAGAGGATGCGTTCAACGTTCTTGGTAAGTCAGAATACTTGTAGCAACTATAGAGATAACAGTTTTATTTGCCAGAAGAAGGAGAGTCAGTAAGCAGGTAGCATTGTCTCTGAGTCACTTGAGAAGGAACAAAGCTGGAGACATCACACCTCCTGATATCAGACTATGCTACAAAACTATAGTAATAAAAACTGTATGGCACTGGCATAAAATAGCACAGACCAACAAAACAGAATCCAGAGCCTGGAATTGAATCCCTGCGTTTATAGTCAACCAATATTCAACAAGGAAGTCAAGAATACCCAATGGGGAAAGGATAGTCTTTTCAACAAATGGTACTGGAAAACCAAGTAAACAATATGCAAAATGATAAAATTGGATCCTCATCTTACACAGCTGTTATTTATTTTAAAAACATACTTTAGGGGCGCCTGGGTGGCTCAGTCAGTTAAGCAGCCAACTTCGGCTCAGGTTATGATCTCTCAGTCCGTGAGTAGAGCCCCGAGTCAGGCTCTGTGCTGACAGCTCAGAGCCTGGAGCCTGTTTTGGATTCTGTGTCTCCCTCTCTCTGACTCTCCCCTGTTCATGCTCTGTCTCTCCCTGTCTCAAAAATAAATAAAACGTTAAAAAAAAATTTTTTTTAAGTTTAAATAATAATAAAAAAAAAAAAAAAAAGAAAAGTACTTACATGCACATTTCATCCGTGCTACTGGATAGAGAATAAATTAGTAACGCTTGTGCAAGAAAATAATTTACAAATTTCCAAATCTGTAAATGTAGGGGATATGCTGAATAATACAGATAGATATGAGCCTGAACATATGTGAGACTTTCTTGGGTTTGTTTTATTATTTTCAGAAACATGTAAAAAAAACGAAGACAAATCTGTAAACCTACTTTACCGTGTTTTTCCCCAAAGTTATTATATTACAAGCACAAATAGAAAAACATTTGAAGTAAATCAAGGCATTTTAATGTGAGTCCTTCCTAATTTTACTTTAATTTCTGTTAAAAAAAAAACTTTTTCAAGATTGTAGAGCTTTTTCTACACTATGGTATAAAATGTTTTTCATTAGCATTTTCAATACCTCAGGAATATGGTGGGAATACCCTTCTTGGTGAATATATACCTTAGTATAATGTATATTGAAGGCAGATTTGCAAAATTTATTAAAGTTTTACATTTGTATAAAAAAAAATAAAAAAAATAAAAAAATAAGTTTAAAAAAAACATACTTTACATATAGACAGGTTTAAGTAGAAGTTGGAATAATAATATTTGTTGTGAACACCAACCAAAAGAAAGCTGTATTAATATTATACAAAGTAGGCTTTAAAGCAAAAGTTATCAGATTTTTATTAGAAAGGGACACTGCATAATCGTAAAAGGTTTAGTTCAACATAATGTATAATAATCCTAAATATTTACCTTTAAAAAAAATTTTTTAATCTTTATTTATTTTTGAGAGAGAGAGTGTGAGCAGGGGAGGAGCAGAGAGAGAGGGAGACACAGAATCCAAAACAGGCTCCAGGCCCTAGGCTGTCAGCACAGAGCCTGATGTGGAGCTCGAACTCACAAACCATGAGATCATGACCTGAGCCGAAGTTGGATGCTCAACTGACTGAGCCACCCAGGTGCCCCATAAATATTTACCTATTAAGGTAACTTTAAAATAAGCAAAAAAATTTGACAAAATAAGAGAGAAAGAGAAATCTACAATCATATTTGGAGAAGCTATGCAATTTTCTACCAGAGAATAGAAAAAGAAGAAAAATACCTCCCAACCCATTATGAAGACAATATATCATTGATTCTAAAACCCTACCTGATTCTAAAACTCTCTATCTTATAAGAAAAGAAAATTACAGACTAAAATCCCTCATGACCATAGATGTAAAAATCCTAAAAATATATATTAGCAAATAAAATATAGAATATAGAAAAATACAAATAGAAAGGATAATATAGTGAAAAATGCAAATAGAAAGGATCATACATCATGAGTAATTCCAAAAATGCAAGGTTAGATTAACATTTGAAAATAAATCAATGTGATCTACCACATTAAAAACATAAAAATCAAGTGATCAACTCAATGAATGAAAAAAAAAAAAAACAAAAGATATCTGTCAAAAGAGAGAGGGAGAAATAATATCATGCTTAATAGTGAAAACTGAAAATTTTAACACTTCCCCTAATGCTTTATCTTTTAACAAGAGAAGCATATAAGCTATCATCATATATCTTCAGTATTTTATTTCAGGTGTCCTATCCATTGCTATAAGGCAAAGAAAAAGGAAGTATATGATATTGGAAAGAAGAAAAAAATATTTCTGGATGACAAACTTTAAGAAATAAATGAATTTTATATCTTAAATATATGAAAACCAAATAAGTTATCTTTCTATATGCTTGCAGAAACCAGTGGATAAACAAATGTTAAAATACCATTTACATTAATATTAAAATTGTTAAGACTCGTAGAAACAAATATATCAACATATGTGCAAGATTTCTACTCTAAAAAAGACACAAGAAAACAATGTAATGGCATCTTTAAAGCACTGGGGGAAAAAAACTGTCGACTAGAATTCCATACCTACTGAAAATATCCCCTTAGTATCAATGGTGAAATCAATTCATTTTCATATAAGCAAAAGCTGAGAAATCTTTCTATTATCAGATCTACAATACCAAAGGAAATTAATGTTCTTCAGGCTGAAGGGAAGTGGTGGCAGATGGAAACTTGGGCACACAAGATGAAATAAAGAATACCAGAAATGATAAACATATAGTATGTTAGTGCACTATTGCTGCTGTAATAAATTACCACAACCTTATTGACTTAAAACAACATAAATTTATTATCTTAGAGTTTTGGAGGTCAAAAGTCTCAAAATCAGAATGTTGACAGAACTGTTTTCCTTCTGGAGGCTATTGGGAAGATTTTGTACCTTGCCTTTTTTTAGCTTCTAGAGGCTGCCACATTCCTCGACTGGAGCCACACCATTGTAATCTCTTATCCTCTGTCTCATAAACACATTGTCTTTTCTTTGTTGTCCTCTTTCCTCCCTCTTACAAGGACCCTTGTTACTACATTAGGCCAAACCAGATATTTGAGGATAACCTTATCTCAAGATCTTTAACTTAATCACATCTATACATTCCCCTTTGCCTCATATTTACATAGTCACAGTTTCTGGGGATTATGACATCTATTATAGAGCTATTATTTAGCCTACCACATATAGGTAAAGATAAAATATTGTGTTTTTTATTTCTTAATATCTTTACTGACTACTAAAAACAAAAAATGCACCCCTAAATAGCCAAAAGCAATCTTGAGAAAGAAGAACAAAGCTGGAGGCATCGTGGTCTCTAATTTCAAACTATATTACAAAGTTATAGTAATCAAAACAGTATGATAATGGCATAAAAACAGACTCATAAATCAATGGAAGAGAACAGAAATCCCAGAAATAAACCCATGCATATATGGTCGCCTAATTTATGACAAAGGAGCCAAGAATATAAAATGGGAAAGGGCAGTCTCTTCAATAAATGGTGTGAAGAAAACTAGACAGCCGGGGCACCTGGGTGGCTCAATCAGTTGAGCATTGACTTTTGGTTTCAGCTCAGGTCATGATCCCACGGTTCATTAGTTTGAACCCCACATCGGGCTGTGTGCTGACAGTGCGGAGCCTGCTTTGGATTCTCTCTCTCTCCCTCTCTCTCTCTGCCCCTCCTGTGTGCTCTCTCTCTCTCTCACACACACACACACACACACACACACACACACAAAATAAATAAACTTTAAAAATTTTTTTAAAGAAAACTGGACAGCCACAATGCAAAGGAATGGAACTAGACCACTATCTCACACCATACAAAAAAATTAATTCAAATGGATTAAAGACTTGAATGCAAGACCTGAAGACAAAATTCCTAGAAGAAAACATAGGCCATAGCTCCTTGACATTGGTCTTGACAATGATTTTTTTTTTGGACTTGACACCAAAGACAAAGGCAACAAAAGCAAAAATAAGCAAATGGGACTACATCACATTAGGAACTTCTGCACAGCAAAGGAAACCATCAACAAAGTGAAAAGCCAACATACTGAATGGGAGAAAATAGTTACAAATCATATATCAGATAAGGAGTTAATATCCAAAATATATAAAGATCAAGCACAAAGCAATAGCAAAAAAGCCAAACCAGTTTAAAGTTGGGTAGAGAATTGAAATAGACATTTTTAAAAAGTTTTTATTTAAATTCCAGTTAGTTAACATATAGTGTAATATTAGTTTCCAGTGTACAATATAGTGATTCGATGCTTCCATAAACACCCAGTGCTCATCACAGCAAGCATACTCCTTAATCCTCATCACCTATTTTACCCATCCCCCCTACCCACCTCCCCTCTGGTGACCATCACTTTGTTCTCTATAGTTAGGAGTCTGTTTCTTGGTTTGCCTCTGTCTTTTTTTTCCCCTTTGCTCATTTGTTTTGTTTCTTAAGTTCCACATATGAGTGAAATCATATGGTATTTGTCTTTTACTGATTACTTCTTTCACTTAGCATAATACTCTCTAGCTCCATCCACACCCTTGCAAATGGCAAGATTTCATTCCTTTTTATGGCTGAGTAATATTTCATTGCATATATATACCACATCTTCTTTGGACACTTGGGCTATTTCCATAATTTGGCTATTATAGATAATGCTGGTATAAACATCAGGGGTACATGTATCCCTTTGTATTAGTATTTTTGTATCCTTTGGGTAAATACCTAGTAGTACAATTGTTGGATCATAGAGTAGTTCTATTTTTAACTTTTTAAGGAAACTCCATACTGTTTTTCAGGGTGGCTGTACCAGTTTGCATTCTCACCAACAGTGCAAAAGGGTTCTGCTTTCCCCACATTCTCACTAGCACCTGTTGTTTTCAAAGAAAACATACAGAAGGCCAACAGGTACACAAAAAGATGCTCAACATCACTAAACACCAGGGGAGTGCCT